CTAAATATTTGTTGCATGGCCCTCTAACGAGGATAATGTAAATCCTTCCATCTATTGACCTATCTTGGTTGTTCATAATCATCACTTTGAGATGCTTCCTCCAGTGGAAAGAGCCCTGATTTGAAGAAAAGGAGAACTGTGGTTCTAATCAGTACCTAGCACAGCATCTAGCATTTCATAACCTCTCAACACATAAATGAAAGTTTCTAGGCCCACCACTTTGTAGCTGATGACCTTGAAAAAGTGTTATCAAACATCTGGATTCCAGTTACTTCATTCATAAAACAAAGCAAACACTTGACCCCCATACTGTGGGCTTGATAAAAATAAGAAATATGAACATGCTTATAAATTGTAAAGTCCCATACATCTGTAACAGGACATTAATAATGGCTATAAAGGGAGACAAATTTCCTTTACTCGTTAGCCTGAGCAAATTCCCACCACAGGAGGTTACTGGGCAGTGAACCTGAGAACACAGGGCACTGAGGCTTCTGCTGACTACCTCTCACTCTCTTCTCCCCCTTGCAGGCCAGTCCCTCCCACCTCCAGCAGACCGACTTCTTTATGGAGATACCCATTTCTATTAATGATCACACTCTCCTCCCACAACCCACACAAAAACCCCTCATGAACCTTCTTTCTCCTTTGTAAATTTTTGAAATGTTAAATTGGATGTGGATGAACTTCATCTTTTGAATAGCCATATATATTCACGACATTTCAAAAGGCTTTCAACTAGCCAGTGGAGTCCATGAAATGTAGAACTAATCTTATCTTCTCAAGACCCAAGTCACTTCCTGCCCTGCCAATGACTCAATGCCACACACACTCCCATAGATGTGCTTTAAACACATAATTCTCCGGTGAGTATGCTCCACCCCCACCACTGGATATACAGACCACACCTCAGAGAAATACTGTGTGTGATCTAGGTGTAGGAAAGAATAAACACAATCATTTCATTTTTTTTCACTAACAATTTTCATGTAAGTGCTTCTTACCAACTTCAGAGATACAGATGCAATTCTTTTCTTTTCCCCTGGAAACACCAATGCCCAAAGGCTCTCAGGAGTTAAATCCCGGAAGATCCTGATTCCTGCTGCCATTCCCCATCCCAGCTCCCAGCCTGTTGTGACTTCTTTCTCAACATCTAAAAATATAAAACTGATTAGTTAGGAATGCTGGGGCTTGTCTGACCCACATCTCACCTGACCTCTGCTCCCTTGGAATTCCATCCCACAGTCAGAGGAATATCAATGTCAGAAAACAAGGTTTCCCTGATATCCAACCTGAAGTTTCCTTCTGCAAGTCTCAACCAATTATTTCCATGGGCCACACTAAGTAATTCCTCTCCGTCATGGCCACTCTCCTTCCTCAGAGATCTGTAGATTGTTACCATGGCTTTCCCTTCATCGCCATTTAGCCCAGCCACATATTTAATTCTTTTCATCGTTCATCGTAAATCAGTCCCTTCAACTGTTAAATAGGCTCTCTGCTCTTCTCTGGACCAGTTCCAATTCTCCCAATTCACCTCCAATAACTGATATCCCTTCTGGGAGCTCCAATTTCCTCTCTATCTTCCTTTGCTCTCTCTGCCCTCTCCAGAATGAAATGGGAAGGGACTGACAGATATATGAGGTCAAGGATCAGATATATTGCATTGCATACACCCACTCCAAATTGCTGTGAAGTCCCAAGTCATGTATCCCCTTTCCTGGAGAAAGGAGGGAGTGCTTACAGGGAAATAGGCCTCCTATCTCATAAGTAATCACCCTGTAGACCTCTGTCTGGGCAACTGCAGAAGCAGATCTTAAAACGCCTACAAACCAGGATACAAACTGGAGCTGTGTGCAATGTGCTAGCCTCAAGGCAGACGTCTTTTCCATGATGTGGGCTGTCCCAGGAGAGTCCATCATCATTAATACTGTCCCAGAAACTGCCTCCCCACTTCTTCTCCATGAATGGGTGCTATGGAGAACTGCCTCAGACTTTGAGATGCTGATCCCATGTACGAATTCACAGCCATTTGCATGCCATGCATTATAAGGCCTCTCACACAGCCCAAACCACAAGAAACACAGAAATCTTGCTTTGTTCTAACTGGTACTTTCCATTTTTACTATATCCCTAGGGATGGTCATGCTTAGGTTTAAGAAGCTATCTTCAGTCTGAAACAAATGGGCTGCTTTAGTCCCTTCACCAAAAGAGGTGGAAGAACAACCACTCTTTCTTTTTCCCTCCCCACAAATAGCCCCATCAGCATGACTGTCCACTTCCAGACCAGACCACCAGTTATGACTACTTTCCCTTTGTATAACTGTAGATCCAATGTCACAGAAGAGTTAAATGCCTTTCCTATAAATTAGAGACTATATAAAAAGAATAAATCCATTTCTCTAAACATGATAAATAGCAAAATCAATCCAGTGGCAGAAACTCAGCTTGAATTTTCACAAAGAAAATGAAGGGAATCACAGTGATTTATGTTGTCCCAAATGTGGACATGATACAGCAGGGTAAAGTCCACTCCATGGGGAGGTCTGCAGTGGAGACTGTATCTGAATGAGGCTGGGGAGGCAGTGGTAATGCCAGAGGCTAGTCCTGCATGGCCGGCTGCCTAACTGCAGACAGCATATGTCCTCAGAGACAGAAGAGACCAGGCTGTTCCAAGTGTGAACACCACAAGGCCTGAAGTGCTTTTCAATAGGTTGTCTGTCTCTGTGGAGGTCATGGGGAGCTCATCCAGTTACACTTAATGTCTTATTTGATCCCATCAATAATCATTTGATCCCAATCCTGCTGAAAAATGCTTGGCCAAAATTCCTGGCCTTTTAATGGCAGAATCCTGGCTCCTTCTGAAACCAGCATTACTAGATGTGTCAAATGATGCATAAGGGCTTGGTCCAGCAGCCAAATGGACTGTGCTGCTGAGGGAGGACTTGGGATGCTCACAGTGCTTTCCTGCAGCCAGTAGCAGAGCAGCTCTTGGAGTACACTCCTTTCTACATAACCCTCTCCCCCCACCTGGCAGCTTCAACTCCTTTTCTAAGGCTTGACTGGAGTATTTCTTCAAATGCATTAAGTGTGTAAGTCTTCAGAGACACCTACTGAGAGCTTCCTGCAACCTACCTGTTTCTAGTAGACAGATTTGAGGCTGTAGAAAGGACTCCTTTTGCCTGTCACCAACATCAACAGACAACATCTGACACAGACTGCTAGGTTCTATAGTCATTTGACAAGAGGTGATGGGGAACCTCCAAAGATGCTCATAGACATGAAGCTGGAAGAAAATCTGCATTTCCAGAGAAGTCATTTTTGTGTCTATTACTAAAACATTGGGCACTAAAACAGAATGTCACATGTATAAACCACAGAAGTCAAGATGACATTAAAGCCCAGCTGTTCTTCACAAAAGTATCTTTGGTGGGACAACAGTATCAGTTTCCCATCTTAGTTCACTGGAGGCACTACCAAACTCATCAGTGCCTCTTACAATGGACTATATAAATTCCAGATTGCATGTCATTTTAAGTGCAAATGCCACTAACGCTAGTGCTGAAATTTGCATCCACACTTTGTTTTCCTTGGGGATAACATACTAATATGTTTTCTGTGCAATGACTGGGGAACCTCGGCTTCTGAATATCCCTGCTGCATGAGAATATTGGATGTGTGGGGGAGTGTGTGTGTGTGTGTGTGTGTGTGTGTGTGTTGAGACAAGCATGGGAGATACTTGTAGCTCTACAATGGGCCCTTTTCAATGCTTTCCATCCAATTAATACTAGACATTAGTAACCAGTGGAGCATAAGAACTTCATTTATTTCTGATGATGAGAATGATAGAAAAGAAGCTGGGTTTGCTCAATGGAATTAGCGTAGGCTTTTAAAAAACCTGATTTCTTTTCTGTGCTTTTCTCATTCATTTACAATGTGTATTTTATTCACAAGTCTTTTCCCAGTTGTCTTACAAGAGAAACATCCATTCAAAACCACCTGGTTTTCCAGTCAAAAGATACTCTAAGAAGAGTTAGAAGTATGTGCCTACACACACCCTCCCAACTCGATGACTATGGGAAGAAATGAGCGAGTAAATGAGACAGAAATCTCATCTTTAGGAGTCTCCAGCAGAGAGATCTGCAGTGAAACAAGCCTGCCAGAGACTATTATCAAGAGCTGCTGCTGCAGACATTCAAGCTAAGAATTAGAGGGGAACGGAGGAGAGGGGGAAGGTGAAGAAATGCGGGGAAACCAACTATTGTTTCTCCCTGGCTTCAGGGTGACTCCCCCAAAGCAAGACCATCTTGACAACTTTCCTCCCTCCATACCTCCCTCCTGTCCCTGGTTCCTTAGTTCCTCTGAGGCTCTCCCAACAACATCTAAGAGAAAGAATGAGTCTGAGAGCGAATAGGAGACTGGAGTGGGGGTGGGGGTAGTGGGATGAATTATTAAAGAAAACACAATCCCTGGGCAAGCCAACCTTTGGCAGGGGGACAGTTGGGTGGGATTCAATAACATGAAAAGAAACTGTATATTCCCTGCGAAGGTGTACATTTCCCAAAATCTGTGGTGGCCAGGAAGAGGAACAAGGGGGAGGGAAGCAGGACAATACTTTTGAGGTTTGGTACTAAGCTTGGCACCTAGAAGTACTAGGGGCATTTCAACCGTCCGGGGCCCAGGAAGAAGAGCATCCAGTTTTGGCTCTGACGGTGTATAATAAGTTCATAGAAGAAGGCATTCCGCTAAGAACAGGAAACTTTTCTCCCAACTTGGTTGCTGAAGAAAAAGAAAGGCCAGTCGGGAGTGACAGCATTCAGGGGAGAAAATAAGAAACTATGGTCTAACTCAGGAAGGAGGTTTGCGGAAGGAGGAGAGAGGGCTAAGAAACAGAAGCTGAGGTTTTGGGAAGTGGGATGGGGTTAGAGGTGGTTTAATAATCGTTACAGATTGATGTCACTAAAAAACCCAAATCCGGACACGCTCAGGCGGTAGCTGCTCACCGGTCCCGAAGATCTGGAAGAGAAGGTGAGGCTGCGAGGCGCGGATCGCCGCGGACAGCCGTCCCTCTCTGCCCACTTCCGACGCCTTCTTCTCGGGCATTAGGCGGATCCTCAGCCGCCCTTCGCCGTGATGAATCCACCAGCTGAACAGCTCGCTGAGGTTGAACTGGAGCAGCCCGACAGCTGGCTCCTCTGGGGGCCCGACGCAACCCTCCAGGATCGCCTCCTCTCCCAGCTCCAGCACCAGCTGCTTGGCGCGCCGGAGCTTGCGAACCGAGCCGCCCTTCAGCACCCTGGACAGCGTGCGGGCCGCGGCCGGGGCCGGCGGGCTGGATCCCGCGGTCCCGGAGACCCCGGGCGGCCCCAGCAGCCTGAGCAGCGGGGCGCAGTCGAGAGCCAGCGAGCCTCGAGCCTCAGGTCGGCCAGCCCTCAGCTCCGAGGGGGACGGCGGCAGCAGCAGGTCCCGGGCGTAGACTCGGAAGAGCGAAGGCACCACGAAGTCCACCGCCAGACTCTTCCTCTGTAGGCGCGAGTAGCTGAGCGGCTCCCGGGGCTGCAGCGGTGGCCCCACAGCCGGCGATCCCGCGCGCGGGCCCGTCCCAGTCCCCGAGCCCAGGGCTGCAGTTGAAAGCAGTGGCAGCAGCAGCCACAGGAGCACAGCGGCTTCCATCCCTCCAGAAGAGGCTGTTTATACTAGTGTCTGACTCTGCCCGGCCCAGCCTCGCCCTTCACTTTCCCCAAACGGGAAGAGGCTTCAGGCAGTCCTTGGTCCTGAACGGCTCCTTGCACCTAATCTCCGGAGAATGTGCATGCACGCGATTCTCTGGCTGTCCCCCACTGCGAGGAGGCAGGCAGGGGTCTGAATGAGACGGAGCTGGAAGCCTAGGGGCGAGTCCAGAGACTCTGTAGCACCCGGGTTCAACAGCTGGAACCCGGTGCCTCTCGCTCACCACCGAGCGCCGCGCCCCTGTCTGCAGCTCGCTGCGCTCCGAACGAAGAACTATCGTGGTTGAAGGGAGGTGGCAGTGGATACCGTACTATCCTGCCTCTGGCCAGAGCTGGCGTCTGTCCCCTCCTGGGGCGGGCTCCAATCCTCCGCAACTTTCGGGCTGAGAACGGTGGCTCCGAGCGGGTGCCCGCTGTCCTGGCCACCCCCGTGCTCCTTTCGGCTGCCCGAGCTCCTCTCCCCGGTCCACGCGGGAGTCGAGGGCGGGGGCTGCTGCCTGGCGCACCCTCCAGCGACCTTGGCTGCGAGAAGTCTTCGGACTGCACCCGCCGCCCAACTTCTGGGCGCGAATCCGAGTCTCAGCGGCCTCAGCCGCGCAAGTTTGCACCGTCCTTGCCTCGCCCGCTTCTTGGCTCCTCGGAGTTCGCCGGCACCAGCGCGGCCCGGAGGCGGCCGCGGAGCTAACGCTTTCAGGGCAGGGGCGCCCAAAAGCTGGCTGCCTTCGCCTCACCCACCCGCAGCGCCCGTGGCTTTGGGTGGCCAGCCAAAGGGCGCCCGGAAGGCACCTCGGTGCCCCGCGGCCCTCCGGACAGCGGCGGCTGGAGGTGCCAGCTGCCACCGCCGCTGCAGCCCCCGGAGCTGCTGGATCGCATCTGCCCGGGCGCCCGCCACTTGCAGCTGGCCGAGCCGCGAGCGCGCGCCGGGAGGGGGCGGGGCCCAGAGGGGGAGGGGCCCGCGCGCCAACTCCGCGCCGCGGCCCGGCCCACGCAGGCCGGGCCCGCCCCGCCCCGCCCGCGCCTGCCAGCCAATGGCGCGGCGAGGCCGGCTCTTATGCAAATCTGCAGAGGCCTCGGCATTCATTGAGAAAAGCACAGAGCCCTCCGCGCCCTCCCTCAGTGCCTCCGCTTCTTTCTCCTTCCTTCCCCTCCTCCAGATTCCCTGCCCTATTTCTCTGCCGTGAACGGGAGCATGTTTTGGACAAATGAGAGAACTGGAAGAGGCCTTTGCAACCAAGCACTCGCCATAATTATGCATTTGAAAGATTAAACGGGTCCGACTTCGGAAAAACGGTTCCGCAGCAAAACTGGAGGCGAGGGGAAAGGAGAGGAAGGGGGCTGCAGCGCGACATCGCCGGGTCCGAGGACAGCTTGGATCAGGGCCCTGAGGCGTGGTCTTCTCCGACCCTTCCCCTGTTTGAACGCCTTCCTGGGACCCAGTAGTCCCCCCATCCACACAGAAGTCAGAGGAGGGGCGCCTTAGCCTGGCAGGGCCGTTCTTCGGCTACCACACATACATTTCAGACCTCTGTCAGTCACTCCGTTCTCTCAGAATGGTGTCTGAACATGAACCACCTCCTCTAGTCTCTGCAAGGTTAGTATTTTCAGTGCCGGTTTTACAGATGAGGAAGCTGCGTTGCGGAGAACTGAATTGAGTTTTCCTGGGTCACGCAGTCCTCGGCGACTCCCAAGCCCTTACTCACGTGCTCTTGAACCACTGCACTGCCTTAGCCCTCCACCAACAGGCGAAGGGCTGGGGACCTGCGGCCTCAAGGCCATACGTGACGCTCTAGATCTCCGAGTGCGGCCCCTAGACTGAATCAAAACTTCACAGAACAAATCCCCTCAGTGAAAGGATTTGTTCTGTAAAAATTGGGTTCAGCCAAAAGGTCGCACCCAAGGATCCAGAAAGCCACATGTGGCTCCAAGGCCACAGGTTCCCCACCCCTCTAAGGAGGAAGGATGGGACACTCTTGTTCACAGCCTTGAGAGTGAGGGTGCAGAACCCCGGGGCATTTTTCACTCACCTGTGAAACAAGGGCTATAACTCTCGCTTTCCTTCCATCTCTCCCAAGCTGCCAACACAGAACTCAGATGATGGCTGTATTTATAACAAGTGGTTCACGAGACCCACAGACAAAACTACAATCTTTGCTTCACACAAATCCCTCAATTCCTTCTCAAAAGTTGATTGTCCGCCAGAGCTAAGAATAAGGCAAGATTCTCTCTTGAGGAGCTCAAGGCTGGCAGGTAGCAGAGCAGTTTGCTCATAGGATCAGAGCACAGTGTCCAGTTGGATCTCCCTCGGGGAGCTCCTGAGGGCGGCAGTAAATTGCCTACCACCCCACGGGAGATGGTAGCCAAGTGAAACCTCTGCTCCCCCAAGGGCTGGGCTCTTTCCAGCATGTGGCATCGCCTTTGGCAAGTGGAAGACCTAATAACAAAGGAATATCGATTCTCAGAATGACTTGCTTCCGGCTCTATATTTGGCAACTCACTTAATTTGACAGGCATCTGGCCTCTCCCTGGAACTCAGACCGGATACACTGCCTTTACAACTTTCAGGGAAAAGAATTATCTCACCCAAGGAGAATAAAAGCTGTTCCTACCTTGGTGGAGGAAAGGAGAAAAAGATATAAAAGAGAAAGGAAAATGTATGGTATGGAGGTTAATACTTTCCCAGTATGTACACATATAGATTTGGATTTTCATCAGGTTCTGCTGGTGCGCACACTGGTAGAAGAATATTTTTCTATTTGAAATATTAAAAAGACTAAAATGCCAGCCCTTCTACTCCCTCCTCCATCCCTATTTCTCTATATAATTCTTGTCCAAAAGCAAACTGACTCCAGTAATTTGTCAATAGCTGTGAATAGGCTGCTGCAATCAATGGCCGCTAGGGGGCTGCAGAGACTTGAAACTTCACAGGAACCGCCAGGGTTTAACCTTCCGGATAATGTCCCCGCCCATAGCTTTTGCACCTCAGGGACGCAGGGGTCTCAATTAATTCTCATGCTTTTATAAACTCTCTCAAACTTCTCCCAGGGAAGAACAAGTGCCTTCCCCTATCGATTAAATCACACTAAATCACAAAAACGTTGTTCCTTTTTTGTTAGCTAATTTTTAAAAAGGGGGCATGAATGAATATTGATAGTCTATTTATTGCTAGTCTACCAGGCGCCATGCATATGCATACGTAGACTCTGTGTGTGTGTGTGTGTGTGTGTGTGTGTGTGTGTGCGCGCGCGCGTGTGCGTATCACATCACACAATGGCCTTTAGGGGAAAAGTATATATTTATTATTTCCATTACAGAGACAAAACAGCTAAGGCTCAGAGAGGCTAAATAATTTGCCCACAGTCAAACAGCAAGTAAATAACAGAGCTGGAATTCAAATCAGTGCTTCTTTTCCTCCAAAATGTACACATCCCACTGGGACAAATTAAGCCTTTTCCTCATGCCACAGCTCGAATTGCTACTTCTCTATCCCATAAAGAAAGTCTATTAGTCAAGGTAGCTAGTTTATATTATAATAACAACAACAACAACAAAACAAATCTAAGTAACTTAGAAACAATGAAATATATTCTTCTCATAGTCCATGTCCATTTCAGGTGAGCAGAGACCTCTGATCATCATAGTCACTTAGGGATCCAGGCTGATGGGGCAGCCACTCTTGTGAACTTGAAGAGTCTTGTACCAACAAGTAAATATTCCAGTCTGGGAATGGCCTAGGTCACTTCCACTCACAACTCTGGCTGGAAAGATTCACTTGGTCCCACCCTAGCTTGAGAGAGTGCAGGGTGGAGAGTCAGAAATATCTAGCAAACAGCCTTATCAACTCCCAAATGAGAAGAAGACCTGCAGGTGTTGCACCAGATGACTTAGACTAGGAAGAGTCCAGAAGACCAGAGTTACCCAGAGGAAAAATGACCTTAAGTCCTCAGAGATCCACAGTCAAGCTGGGAAACCCCACCACCCTCAGACAGCACAGCTTCCCTCGATATGCTTCCAGTCGGTGCCGGCATCATCATGGAAACATGTTTGAGAGCATTCCTGCTGCTCAACATAACAGGTGGCACAGATGCAGTAAAAGCCTTTCCCAGACACCGAGTGGCAGCTCTCACCTGGAAACTACAAACAACCTCACATCTACACAAGAGATGGGAACAACAAGAGAGATAAAAGCAAACTGTGTCCACCACTGCGCATCTCACAGGGATCCCTGTGTTTTCACAAACACAGTGCATTAGGGAAGAAGGGTGGGAGCTATTACTGCAGCTAACACGAGCTGGTCTCCTCACCTGCTGCTCTTGTAATGTGTTCTTGCCTTTCTAAATATCCTTTTTGGCTGAAGAAGATGAAAGAAAAGCTTTTTGGGGTAATTTGGTTATCAATACAGCCTCCTTGAAAAGCCTTTTAAAGGGCTCCAATCCAATGTGCAGTATCTTTCCATTTAGTTCTCTCCAACTTTCTGCTAGGACAGGTTAGTGCCCTGGTCTGTGACTTCTAGTGGCATCAAGAAGGCTTTGGTGTCTCAGAGCTTAGTTGTGTCTACATGATGGATCAGAACGACCGTAGGCAAGTCAATCTCTGAGCAATAGATTATATCCCATTGACCTGCTCCAGTCGTTTTAATGATCAGATAAAAAATAGTTCCCACTGGCCAGTCTTATCTGTCACTTCACTGTCATGCCTGGGCATCTGTCCCTGCCTTCCTTTCTTATCCAGACCCTGGAATGACTGAACCTCTTGGACTGAGCCCTACCCTGGTTCAGAGACCAATCTCAGCTCCACTTAGGAGGAATTAGGATCAGGCAGCTCAGCATTAATTCACTCTCATATCAATCCCCCTCTCACTTTGAATCCTATTTCTAATAAACTGAATGAATCCAATTTTGTCTTGCCTCTGTGACCAGGTGACATCTTCTCCCTAATTTCTAAAAGGGCTGTTTCTTA